CCCCAAAACCCCAAAACCCCAAAACCCCATGCCAATGATTCCAAGTTGAAATTACCGAAGTTCAAATGACAAAATTTTAACATCAAAATAATATTTAGACTAGGCTTAAAAATGGATTTTAGGGTTAATATATCTGGCTGTGAGAATATCTGACTAGGTCCGGTGATTTTCAAGATTTCAGACCAAAAATAATAAGAAAAGGAAATAAGAAGTGAATTAAGATATAGGGATTGGTTATAGGGCAAGAAAAAGCACTTGGAAGATTCTCAAGAGAGATATGAAAATAACGTAATAAATCGCTAGTTTGAAATTTTCTTGATTTAGTCATATCAATTTTTGTTAGATAAGATGTTTCTTAATTACATCTTTCCTAAATGAATTAATTTTTCTCCCATTAGTTACTTAAGTTTGCAAAAAAAGTGAAAACTAAAGGTTATTTCTTTGAACCTCTTTGATCTTCTCTTTTATTTACTTGATTATCTCAAACCTCAAGTAATCTCGTAAATATTCACAAAGAAGTTATTTTATTATAGAGATTTAAATGAACCAAAATTAGAAGCATTTGAAATTAAATTTATGATTCTTAGGAAACTTATTTGAACTTTTCTCTTGAGCAGATTGCAATCTTTCGAAGATCTTCGATTTCAAATCTGCCTTCATCTCTTGGTCCTTCACTTTCAAAGATATTTCTATAAGACAAGCTTAGTCTGAAGGAAAATCATAAGGGCATGGGTATTAGAAAAGAGGAAGGTAAATATAGTTTATAAGGATACTTACCAAGATTCTAAATTATCCTGAATGTTATTTGGCATGAATTCACACTCATCATCAATTGGGATAGTGAATATGACATCAGTTCCTTTTCGTAGTGCAGAATGTAAGTGAATCTCTCCTCCAATAGCCTCAACATAACGTTTGCTAACAGTGAGACCAATTCCAGTGCCGTTAGGGTTGAGACCTTTAGTGTCAGAGATCATGCTGAACAGCTTGAATAATTTTTCCTGTTGCTCTTCACTAATTCCCATGCCTGTGTCCCTCACCTATATATTCTGTCTAAACATATCCAAACAGTTAAATTCAAAATGCTAGCAAATTTGATGTTGAAATGGAATTTTAATTGAAACAAGATAAAGTAACATGTGCTTAAAAACTTATATTGCAATAGTAAATGTCAAAATAGAAAAAAAAAGTGTTAGATATCATTTTTGACACAATGAATGTATCTAACTGAAGGTAATAGCTAATCGGATAGATTCTCTATCCTCAAACTATTTAAAGGAACACTCACATTAAACTGAACAAACAGTTGTCCTCCATTTTCAATAATTTTACACTCAATCTTTATGTACCCTCTGAATGTAAATTTGTAAGAGTTGGACACCAGGTTCAGAATTATCTGCTTCAGTCTTGCTTTATCAGAGTGGATTAGCATGTTCTTGATATCTGGAGACACGTCCAATACGAATTGGAGTCCTTTCTGCTCACATTGCATAGTGAAGATGTCTTGGACTTCTCCAAGGACTTCTTGAATTGGGAATAATTCATTGAGAATTGTGAATGTTCCTGCCTCCATCTTTGCAAGGTTTAACACATCCTCGACCAATGTGAGCAACAGCATTGATGAATTCTTCCCAATTTTAACAAATTTGGACAATGTCTGCAAACCTTCATCAAAGATAATTTGGTTTCTTCCTTGCAACTGAGAGAAGTAGGGATGCCCAATCTTTTCAATTGTTTTAAAAAGAATCAAATACAATATCAAATGAGTTTGTAATTGAATTCAGAGGGGTCCTGAACTCATGCGATGCACTTGTGAACATGATCTTCTGGCACTTTATGCTGTTCTTGGCCTCCTCCAGCTTGATGAAGTCGGTGATATCTACGAACACGTGCATATAGGCTTCGGCGCCTTCCCACTCAACCATGAGGGTCTTGACGTTACAAGTTCTGCTGTCTGAGTCGTCAGCCTGTTCGATAAGACTGTGTGGGTTGCACTCGATCTTGACATCGCTGTCGGTCATCAAGTCTTTAGAGTCAAGTTGCTGTTGCTGTGACTTCAAGAACGCAGAGAGTTCGCGAGGTCCATCTAGGTGGTTCTGTTTGTCTTCGTCCACAAAAGACACATCGATACTATTGAGTTCTTCGAGGTCTCTGCGAATTTTAGTGAACTTGTTGGTGAACTCAGTGTTGGTGAACCACTTGTCTGTGGCTTTGGAGGGCCAGATGACAACACCGAAGGGGAGGATTTGCATGACTTTCTTCATTTCTGCTATGAGATTTTTGTTTTTGAGGATTTCAGAGTACATACTTCTCGTCCTCATTATCAACAAGTAGCTTGAAATTGTGAAAAATATACTAGAGGCGACAAAACTTGATATTATTCCGGGGTTTGTGATTCCAAAAGTTTTCCAGATTTTATAAATTAAATGTATCATTGATAAGCTGTAAACAATCGAGTTAGCCTTCCACTTGTTTGGCACTAAGATCATAAGCAAGTGGCCGAAGCATCAACTAACTATATGGAACTCATCCAGGCTATAATAATCTTTTAGTGGTATCATAGCATTTCACATCCAAGAGCTCACTCCGATGACCATAGGAATGAAATACAATATATACATTGGTTTGAACTTTAATATAATTAGAAGGACTACCAGCATTAATGCAAACACAAATCAGTTGATAATGCGTTGAGCTCGAGTTTCATTATTATTCTCAAATAAAGTATAAATGTTCAAAATGCCATTAATACTACACACAAATATGAGAAGCATGCATCCAATTTTGATGTATTTCAAATACTTAGTTTTGATTGTTTCTTCAATGACCTCAGCAATGAAAGAGTCAACTTCATTAGTGGACTAAATCAATGATCAGAATTGCTTATTTTTATTAACAGCTCATATATTTTACATAAGCCAACTCCAATTAAATTTCCAACAATAATTAGGTGGAATTCTTCACTTATTTAATACTGTTTTAGTGAGGTTTTACTGGAAAATCAAAAATAGAAGTAAATCCTAACAAATTTACGAGTGTCAAAATATAGCACCCTTGATAAAAATAAGAGAAATAGCGTTGGAATCGCTTAATCTTCGGAAATCTCAAAACTTGATATTTTAAGGCAATGGCATATTTAATGCATTACTCTACATTAATATTCTGAAAAATAGCGATTAGAAGTGTGGGAAATTTTAATTAGTTCACTTTTGCATGAAGTTGGCAAAATTACTCACCTATAGATACCTACAAAAAGTATGAGGCCAATTCCAAAAGAAGAGAATTTGGAAAACTGGATAAATTAAGCAAGGATTAGCTAACCTAGAGTATTCTATAATTTTGAGTATAAAAACTACTAATATTCATATTCTTTTGTTGTTAATAAAGTAACAAAATTGGCAAAAATCATAGATTATTGGTTCAGTCTGAACAGTTCCTAAACTCAAGGTTTTTCTAATTACATTATTGAATAAGTGGTAAGCATGCAGGGCTCTTTACACTTTTAATAGTAAGCAACCGTTCTAGTAATAATTTGTTATTATGGGCTTTAATAAAGAAGTCTGATTGCTTGTTATAGTTCCTAAAGCATAAAATAGTGATTAAATGCCCTAAGTGACAACTCAATGTGGCTCTTATTGGAATAAAAATGAGCTAGAAGATCATCTCTTAAGCAAAAATTCATAAAGTCTCATCATGATGTTAGTATATAGAGCTAAAATTTGTCATATTTATACTATAGGGGAGTATTTTTAAAAGTCTCTAAGATCTAATAAATCCGACTGATTGTACCCCTCTATCGTTTTATTAATTTTGCTCTATTCTAAACACCTCTGAATTATTCCAAGTAATTGAATTTTCTAGTAAAAACCCTATTCTAGCTTTAACTAGAAAGAGGGATCATAGGTTTTAGGTAATTTTGGGGAACCCTGCTTTCATTGTTACTAAAAACCAGAAAATTTTGTAATTTTCAGGATAACCATTACAACTAAAACAAGTTTTATATAGAGACTTTCTGTAATAGGAAGTCGTCCGAAAGTAATTTAGCACCCATCACCATTTTTAGGAAAACCCCAGAGTTCTCAGAGCTTGATTTATGATTTTGTTGCAATGAGTTATTACAGGTAGAGAACCTGCTCAGAAAGTATCAGTCTTTGTTATATGATGATTATTGAGATTAATATTTTATAAGTGAAGAAAAAATATAGCCTATTAATAACATTTAAGAATTATCGATTTAGCAACTGCATACTTATGACATATAGATGAATATTTGTATTTCAAGCAAATTGTCTTAAAATAGCAGCCAGGATCTCATCTAACCAGTAAATATTAAATTCCATCATATTTTGAGTATAGAACAAAAAGACGCCAAGCAAGCCAATGAAGTAAAACCGCAGAAAGCTGTAAAAGAATATTGCTTTAATAAATTTCTAAGAAAACCCATATTTACCTGAAATGCTAGTTGAGGTCCTTCCTGTTTCTCATGTTTCGAATCGTTGTGAAATAATTTATCAGCTATAAATTATGTCAAATTGGTTTAAGAAAACTTAATTCTGTGTTGGATCAAAAATCCACATATTTTGGACAGAAAGCCTCATTTACTAATCAGACACTTAAAAGTACTGCTAAAAAGGTCCGAATCTTAATGAAAATATTTGAATGATAAAAGAAACTAGTCAGAAGGCCTATTATTCTAGAAAACCTTTTCATGGTAACCTCCTTACTAGTAAGATTGGTAAAACTAGACTTCATATTTTTAATATATTGTACAAATTTAATATTTATTATCAACTTTGTTATATCATAAAGGGGTTTTGGGGTTTTGGGGTTTTGGGG